CAGACATCTGGTCTACTCCTTGACCCCTGGTTCTGATTCTAGGCATCTGCTGGCAGCCAGGATAGGGCCTAAGCCTTGTTCGTGATAGTCCAAGCCTGGCCATGTCTAGTTGCTGAGACCTTGCCTCCCTGACCTGCCCAGATTCCTCCGTATCACCTACTCCTGCAGGGAGATCCCTCAGAGTGAACTGCCCTCCAGGAAATCCATCTTTGCTATTTCCCACCCTGTGCTTACACCCTGATCAGCCTGTGGTATTAGACTTCCTCCTCCAACCTGCAATGGGGTCTCATCCCACTTGCCTCTTCAGGTCCAGCAGGAGGTCCTACTGCAGTGGTCCATGCACCAACCTCTCCTCAGATGCTGTGGCTAACTATGCCATGCTGCTAAGCACACGCAGCCAACTTTCCCCAGTTACAGCTCACAGCCACCAGGAATGGTGGGTGGACTGGAGGAAGCCTTAGAAAGGGAGGGCTGCATGGGTAGTGAATAGACAGTGGATGGGTGGGTGGAGAAATGTGTGGACAGACGGATAAAGGACAGATGGATGGGTCACAGATGAGCTGACTCCAGCAAAGAAAACTGCCCTATACTTCCCCAAAAGCATTCTGAAGAGGAATGTTCTTTCACCCCTAAAGCACTGTTTCCAGAACCCACACCCCCACAAATACAGCCACCTCAGTTTCCAGCCCTCCACCCCAGACTCACACCTAAAGTGACTTCACCCATCTCCCTACACCATTGGTTGTAGAGTTGCAGACGCTTCATAGATATTCCCCAAGTGTCTTAGTGCCGACTGAGGTGGGCCAGTCATTTTCAAATCTTTTTTAGCAATAGAATTATTTCTTCAAAAGAAAACTCATGAAGAGCTCCAGTAGACAAAACAGAAATGTGAAGCTGGTCTAATTGAAGTGTAAATAAGGAACATGGCTAGAGCACCAACCCTTACTCCACCCAGCCTACCCTTTTGCCCTGGATTCCACAAAGCACCATTTACAAACCAGTCAACAGACCCAAGGGGCTCAAGGAGAAGCAAGAGCTCATGGTAGCCTATGGCTCATTACGTAGAGCAGAGTTACAGGAGGTGGCTGGAGACTGTGGAGAGTGGAGTCTATGAGGAGTGTGTGTGTGTGTGTGTGTCTGTGTATGTGTATGTGTATGTGAGAGAGAGAATATGTATGTGAGAGAGAATGTGTGTGAGGGAGAGAGAGAATGTGTGAGTGTGTATGTGAGAGACAGAATGTATGTGTGAGGGAGAGAACGTGTGTGTGAAAGAATGTGTGTGAGTGTGTGTGAGAGTATGTGTTAAAATGTGTATGAAAGGGTGTGTGTGAGAATATGAGTGTGTGAGTTGAAAGGTTATGTATGTGAGTATGTAAGAGTTTGAGTGTAAGTGTAAAGTGTGTGAGTATGAAAGGGTATGTGGAAATGTGAGTGTGAAAGGGCTGTATGAGTGTGAGAGAATACGTGTGAGAATGTGTATGAGAGTGTGTGAGTGTGGAAGTATGTGTGTGAAAGGGTTGATTGAGTATATGGGTATGAAAGGTTTTATGTTTGAGTGTATAAGACAGAATGTGTATGAGTGTGAAAGGGTGCATATGGGAGGATATGAGAGTGTGAGTGTGCGTGAGAAAGAGGGGTGATGAGATCTCAATATATAATTTAACTCTACACAGGTTAAACACACACAGGCCACAGTCATAGTCATTTCACCAAATAGCCATAAAACTAAAAGATAAATAGGAAATCCCTAAATTGCAGGAATTTTTCTGAGTAGGGAGTGGTGCAATAAAGTGCTATCTGAACTAAGTCAAGCTTGCAGTGACCCCAAGGGAGTGGGCAAACAGAGAAGGGACTTGTTTTTCCCCATCAGTTGCCCCATAAAACCTCTCCAAGGCTGAGAGTCTGGCTCCTGAGGCCCAGGTCAAGGACTGGTCTCCATGACTGAAGAACAGGGAGCCTCCTGGAAATGGGCCCCCTCGGTGGGGGAGTCATCCTCAGCAGGATCATTTGTGAGCCTCAGGTCAGCACCTTATAAGGAGGAGCCCTCCCATTGGTCACTCAGCATCCAGCATGGAGTTGAACCCAGGCCTTGGGCGCCAGGGGGCCCAGAGCCCACTCCCCCCAGCCAGGGTGCTGCTAGCCAGGAGCCCAGACCTTCCTGTGCCCCACCTCATGTAGCAAGACCTTCTCCCTCAGGGACACCACGACTTCACAGATCAGCAAAAGAAAGAGACTAAGCAACTTTCTAGAGACCACCTGCCAACAAGCAGTCAGACATGGGTGTGCCCCAGGCCCAGGCTAGAACCACACTGGGTGTTTATCCAGGAAAGGCACTTCGCTGAAGGAACCACTGAAGGAGATTCGAATTATAATTCCATTCTGGGGGGAGGGGGGTCAGAAGAGGTGGCGGTCAACCCTCCATTAACAGGCCCATTCAGGAACGGGAGACTAGGCCGGCCATACCACCTTACAGACAACCCCATCATCATCTGGGTTCCAGTGACTGAGCCAGCTCTCCACAGAGCCAGGAGCAGGGGCAAATTCTGCTAGGATGGGAGCCACAGACAAGCACATTCTCTCTCTCTCTCTCTCTCTCATTCTGCTTCTCTGATGCCTGCTTTCCAAACGACCTTGTCAGGGACTTCTCTCTTCTCTCTCCCCCACAAGACAGTGTTAGCCAGGTCCCATCTTCCCATCCCCAGAACCTTCCCACTCTAGCCATGCACTCACTTCTCAGCTTCCCAGAGGAACGGGTGTCCGCCACTGGACAGCCACATAAAACACTATTCTCCTCATTTTTATCACAAAAAAAAGGCCTCAGATTTTCTGTCTGCTGCAGCCAGTGTGAGCTCCAAGCAGATCCAGGGGCCAGGGACTTCTCCTGCCCCACTTCGCCTGGAGGGTGTCACTCGGGGAAGCTACAGCTTCTCCTTCCCCCGGCCTCCAGCACCCCTCCTCTGGCCTTGGTGCTGCCAAGCGGCCAGGACCACTCTGCCAGGGGCTGTCAGAGTGTGGGAGCCCACAGGGGTGCAGCAGAGGGATCTGTCAGAGAGAGCAAGCACAGGAGAATGGCCTGAGACAGGAAATCAAAAGAAGCAGGAAGGGGTGGGGGAGGAGTAGTCGTTTTTTTAAAGATAGCAGGAGATTGGTGAAGAAGTGACAAAGTGACATTCTTTTTAGCACCTACAGTGCCAGGCCCTGGGTCAGATGCCTAGCACCTTCGTAAGAGTCTTCTGAGCGAGGTTCATCGCATCCGTTTGACAGACGAGGGAATGGAGATTCAGACAGTTAAGACGCCTGCCTGGAGTTACAGAGCTAATACTTTCCAACACTGGGATTGAAACCCTCGAGAGAATCAGTGGACCAGCTGGGATACAGAAGATGGGGGCAGAGGGCCACTAGGGCCTGTCCTTTGTGGCCCGGGTGTCCTGCTGGGTATGTGAGGACCTCGTCCCCCATGGGGAAGCTCCCCCGGCAGAGTAGGATGGGAAAGCACAGACCTCCCTCAAAGGACATCCAAGATCATGCCAGCAGGCCAGGCCCCAAGGTCCAAGAGTCACGGGGCTGAGTTTCCAGTTTCCAGGACACAGTGAGCCTCCACCTTGATAACATACTGTGTCCAGCGAAGGACTGAATCTGCCCCCAGTTTTCCTGTTTTCGTTTTGTGACAATGAACTCACTGAGCTCTCCTTCGGTCGTGCTTGGAGAGCTGAATTTCTCACAATGTCTCTGCCTCACCCACGTCACGCCGAATGTGCGACACTGTCAGCAGCAGAGGGGGCCACCAGAGAGCCGGCGGGCCGGGGCGAGGTGCAAGCCCAGGGCCCCAGCGAGTGCTCGGCCACTGGGAGCTGGGGAGTGGACAGGCACCAAGCGAGGAGCCCCAGTCTCAAATCTTTACGACTGACTCGACATCAACCCGCTCACCAGGGCGCTCAGAGTGCTCATCCGAGGAACAGGGGAAGACTAAGGTGGGCGGCTGGGCACCCGTGCCGCGGGCAAGCTGCCCATTCAGGGGAGATGGGGAAACCCTCCACAAAACAGTCATCTCTCACAGGGACTGACATTTGGGAGACAACAGTCATGTCCCTCTTTTAAAAGCCCCGGAGCTGATGCTTTTCATCTGATTTGAGAGAAAGACATTTTCCCCAAAGTGTTTCTGAAATAGAGACAAGATCCACACCTTCACCGCTCCTCAGTAATGTTCTCTGGCCTAATTAATGAACATGTACCTCAAGAGGTTGAGAAGTGTTGCCTATCACCTCTAGATTTTTTAAGTGTGAGAACATCCAGAAACTGGCATGGTTCTAATTTCTGCTTGACAAGTCAGGGCAACGAATTTTAAAATGAAAAATGTGTCGCATTCAAGCTGCCTTTCCCTCCCTCCACACTAACCACTGGTAGCCTCGGAGTCCCGCTCCCTCTGGGCACAAATTGGGGGGTGCTGGGACTGCCCACCCATCAGACCACGTGCTCCTTCTGGCCACGGGCAAAGCCAATGCCTGGCAGGGAGCGGTTTGATAAAAGTTGATAGAAAGCCCGCTCTGGCCTGGGGTAAACCATTCACTGCCCTTGGCCTCCCTTCCATCCGCAGAGAGGGGACAACCTGGCCTTGGGACAGCCCAGGCCTGGATTCCTGCCCACCACCCACTTGCTGTGTGAGAATAAAGACACCTCGCATAAAATTCTGATTTTATCTATTTTACCTTAATGGTCATTTTATGGGAATACAAAGGCAGTAGGCAGAGCATATATAATTAGTAAGTCTCTGCACATTATACTTTGATTTAGAATTTATGGTAAAGGGTGCTGGACTATCCTTATCATGTGTTAATAGCCTTATAGGAGGGATATACTCACCTTTAAGGATCCAGGGAGCAAGATTTTTACTCATAATAGAGTAAGTGCTGATGTATGTGTTTTATAGGGGATGCTGGAATGGCTTTCATGGATTTCTCCACTAAAAAGTCTCAAAAGTTTATTTTCAAAAACCATTTACTTTTAGAAGTCCTTATCCTGGCTGTGCTTAAAAAATGACCAACTTGATCCAACATGACTTATTCGTTGTTCTAGAAGCTGTAGGTGCCATGGACCCACTGTGAGATGCATGGAATGAGGTCCCCAAGAAAACAGATAAAAACCCAGAGTGGGATCACAGGAGACTTGGGAGAAGCTTCCGAGAGTGAAAAGTGCTCTCCCGAGGCAGGCTTCCTCTTCCGGGGCCGCTGCTCTGCCTTGCTGGTCTGCCCCCCCGACCCTGCCAACCCCGCAACCGTTCCCTCAGCTTCCCGCAGTACTAACCCATCATGCTCATGTTCTCCAGCTACACGCTGAGCGCCTTCTCAAGACCACGGGGCTCTTCCTAAACCCGGGGAATCCTCCAGTGTAGGTGGCCGGGCCCAGATAAGAAGTGAACCCAGGAATCTCGAGGTGTCACAAACCGAGGTCACACCTCGCTCACACCACGAGTCCACAGGGTGCGGGGCTGGGACACACACGCTCCACGTCTTGGGACCCAGCCTCTTCAACACATGGCTTCCAGGTAGGTCTGCCGGAAGGTGAGAAGGAAGTGGAGACCACACGTCAGCGCTGCGCCCAGCCTGCTTGCTGGCCACCACTGCCCCATGTCCCAGCTGGGGCAGAAGACTCCCTGAGTGCCCAGGAAGAAGAGAGAGCCTGGAAGCTGGCTCACGCCACTCTGGTCCTGCCTGTGGATCCAGAGCTTCTGAGCTTCCCCTTCTAGGCCCTTCCCTCAGGCTGTCCACCGTAGTGGCCTCTGTGCAGACCTGCCTCCTGCTCCTGCTTGCTCCTCAGCCTCAGTGGGGCTCCTCCGTGTCCCACATGCCCTTCTGCCCACAGACTATGCTCCGTGCCCCACGACCCTGCCCCTAGCACGCCCTGATGTGGGATCTTCTCTGCACGTGCCCGTCCCTGGCTGGACTGAAAACGCTTAGGACAGACATGTTTGTCCCTCCTCCCTCCTCCAGCCCTGATGCACTCCTCCCAGAGCCTGCAGGCCCATCTGTCCAGCTTCCGGAGCCCAGCAAATACTCACCTGCCGCACCTGCTCCCGAGAGCCTGGGAGGAATCGTCTTAAGCCGGAGGGTCACGCGTTCACTAGATGCACAGGTGTGAGAGCGCGTACTGCTCTGTGTAGAGCTGACGGGGTCCTGCCACATGCCACACGGGCATAAGGGCTCCAGGACCTGCCAGCTCACAGATGCCTCGCTTCCTGCCGCCCAGCGTCCATCCCTGGACATGTGCACGTGGAGAACAATTCCCTGAGACGTGTCACGAGAAGAGATGTCACTCAGTATATTCATTTTCGGCTGCTCCTCTCACAAATTATCACAGACCTGACTGCTTCAAAGAGCACACATTTATTACCTTACAGTTCTGGAGGCCAGAGTCGAAAATGCTTCTCACTGGGCTAAAATCAAGGTGTTTACAGGGCCACGTTCTTTCAGGTGCTTCCAGGGCACAATCTGTTTCTTCGTGTTCCCCAGTTTCTGGAGGCTGCCCATGCTCCGTGGCCCCTGGCCCCTTCCACCATCAAAGCAATGGCCAGTTGAGTCACATCATCACTCCAACAGTGACTCTGCCACCCATAGGGACCCTTGTGACTACACTGGGCCCATCTGGGTAATCCAGGATAATCTCAACCCAGTATCCCTACTTAATCCTATCTGTGCCATGTTCACAGGCTCTGGAGATTAGGATGTGGGTGTCTTTGTTATTCTGCCCACCATAGTCAAAGAAAGGCGTTCCCCTGGGACATGCTGTGACTCAGGAGACTCCCACCACTCTCAGCCAGCTAAGTGGCCTCCGGGGCCCACCCAGGTGGCATCTTTGTGATCGCTGAGCCACACCCGCCTGGAAGCCATGGGTTTAAGGACCTGGGGAAGGACCCTCCCAGGAACTGGGGGTCCCATGTTGAGAGACAGAAAGACAGGGGACTGGTCTTCTTCTGAAGAAGTTTTGTCCAGGAGGCAGCATCTGCTGCTCTGGGAATCACGTAAGGGAAACAGCTAGAAGGAATAGGTTTGAGGAGTGGCCACGGCCCCCCATGAGGAGAGGAGGCTGGAGTCCTTACGTGGCTCTGGCCGAGGGAATCCTCAGGCAGCGAGGACATCCTGGGGACCTAGATTGATAAGGAAAACCTGTGTCCTAAGATGGCCGACCGAGCCAGCGAGAGTCCCAGTCGTTGCCCCGGGGCTCTTCCGGGTTCTTCTCCCGGCCACGCTTCGCGCACGCGCCGAAAGTGCCAAGTATGCGGAGGAAGAAGTGTATAAATTGCCCCCCTTTGTGCTCGGGGCTCAGACCTTTGGAGACCACTCTCCTCTGAGCCCGCGACGTTAAATAAACCTCTGATCCTCCAAGATCTCCGGGTGCCACTTGGTTCTTCCGTCGGGTGATCCAGTCCAGATTCCGTAACAAGATGAGGGTCTCTGAGGCGGGGGAGAGACTCGGTGTGGAGTGCTGAGACCTGGGGAAGCACAGGGGGGTCTCCAAGACACCAGTGCCTCAGTCAGGTTGATGGTGGGACAGACTCTTGTCGCAGACCCTGGAGAGAGGGGTGGCAGGGGCGGGGCACTGTGGGGCGAGAAGCAGAGCCACACTCCGCAAGGTACGTGGGAACGGAATGGAGCTGGACGTGCGGTAGCCACAAGGAAGGGAAGCTCTCGGGGTGCTGGGGGGCACAGATGCTCAGTGTCCGCAGGACTGGCTTCTGCCCCGGAGCCCAGACCCTCTGAACACAGAGACATTCTTTATCATTTCAAAACTCCAGAAATTCAAGAATCATGCAATCCTGGGATGGCACAGTATCCTGAAACGTCATCCAGTCTGCCCTACCTGCCAGAGGAAGGCACCATCAGCTCCTTTACAGAGGCCGCGAGGCCATCCAAGGCCACTGGGCAGGTCATGGTGACGTGGGGCTGGCACCCCTGTTACTGCTTCATCCCTGATAACCACCCGAGAGGGGCAGAGCCAGAGGCGGGATCCGGGCCCCCTATTTCTTGCCAGGGCCTGCAAGCCTTCCTCTCTGGCAGCTTTAGGAGCCTGGCGGGGGCAGCCCAGCTGGGGGCTCAGGCTGCAGGCATTGGGAGCCCACAGGCCTGCACCCTCAATCCTGGCTCAGCCGCCCTTTCTAGCTGCGAAACCTCTGCTGGCTACTTAACCTCCCTGAGCCTGGCTTCCCCACTGGAGATGGGAGTCGGATAACTCCCACCTCACAGAGGAGGCAGGATTTCCCCGAGCACTCCCTTTCCCTCATTTCTCCTCCTCCTTACCAAATTCGAATCACGCCAATTGATTTTCCTCATCCGCCTCACTAATTTCTCGTCCTGGCAGTTTCCAAAGTAAAATGCCGTGTTGTTCAGGGGCCACGGTCCGAGCTTCCTGTGGTCTTCCCGTGTGGGCCACATACCAACAGGGTGGGTGAGGAGTGGGGTCAGCCCGAGGACCCCGGCCAGCCCCAGCCCATTGTAGTGGCGCAAACAGTTTAATGATTAACTCTTTCTCCAATGCAGTCAGCCTCCCACGCACATTCATGAGATACTAACCCCTTCATCTCGTTCAACATAACTTGGCCGCCCACATTACAAGAGGACCAACATACTTGGCTTCTGAGTCACTCATGAGCACGATCTTTAATGCCTTTGCGGGGTGATTTATCATCAGGAACCACGTATGCTTTATATGTCAACAATTCTACAGCCAACTTGACTTCTCTTGGCCTCCTGGGGGCTACTCTTGCCCCTGGGCTGTCTCTGTTCCTTCTCTCTCCCATCCTTGCCTCTCACCCAGATGGGCACCCCAGCCCCCTTCTGGACAACAGGCCGCGGCCACAACCCCTAACACCAACAGGGTCCTTCCGTTCCCCGCCCCCCCACCTCCCTCTTAACACCCCTGCGTCCTAAAGGAACTCTGGATTTTCTCCTTCTTCGGGGAGCACGGCTGGTGTAACAGGGAAAGGCCGTTCCTTCACCCTCATTGATCCCTTGATGAAGCACAAATATTCTGAACACTCTCATCTCGCTCTTGTGCTTCTGCCAGCGCTTATGCTTTGCAAGCTCCCCACTATGTGCGGCCCCAAACTTCAGTCCCTCCTCTGGTTCTCAAGACCATGCAGCATTTGGCTCCAGCTGGATGCAGGCAGCAGCCCAGCCCTCTTCAGCATCCCCCGCAAACCTAACACGGAATTGCTCAAGGACACAGCAGAAGCAAGGTGAAAACTTGGTGTATCCATTTCCCGTGGCTGCCATGACAAGTTTCTACAAACCGGGTGGCCAAAACAAGAGTTTATTTTCTCTCAGTTCTGGTGGCTAGAAGTCCAAAATTGAGGTATCAGAGGGCTATGCTCGCTCAGAAGGATCTAGAGCAAGATCTTTTCTTGCCTCTTGGCTTCCCTGGTTGCAAAGAATTTTTGTAGGCACATCCCTCCAGTCTGTGCCTCATCATATGGGGCTCTCCTGACGTGTCCAATTTCCCCTATTCTTATAAAGACACACGTGATTGGATTAGGCCCACCCTCATGACCTCCTCTTAATTTGATTATATTTGCAAAAACTCTAGGCCCAAGGAAAGTCACATTCACAGGTACCAGGGGTCAGGACTTGAACTTATCTTTTTGAATGACACAGTTCTACCCGCAACACTAGTCCCGTATCTGCCTGAGCCTAGTTTTCTTATCTTTACGATAACACTGCGCCCCCGCCCCCAGCCCCCCACCAGGAGGGTAGGCTGAAAGAAAGAAGGTGGAACCCAGACACTTCCTGGCACAGATTTCCCATACTTTTTCTGGCAAAACCCACAAGACGATCCTGTAGGTATAACTTCAGGCCCACCAGCTGCTTCTCCTCCTTCCATCTTTCTCTCTCCTAAAAATGTTTCGGAGTAAGAGTCGCAACATTAGAGACAAAGTCTGGAATCTGTGCTAACTTACATGTTTTTTAAAATTAAGGAATCATTGTCAAACTTGGCCACGTTACAAGGAATAACAATTTGCTTGAAACGTGGATTGTTCTTAAACAATCCAGAACCATCAGTTGGGGTAGAGCAGAGTTACTCAACAAGCATCTGCCCCGCCCCCCTTCCATAGGGCCCAGGTCAGCAGAGCGGTTCCTTGAGGACTCAGGTCTGGGGTCAGACGGTCCGGCCGAATCCCAGCTCCCCGTGAGTCAGCCCCACAGCGGCGGGCCAGTCCTGTCAGCCATCTGAGCCTCGGTTTCTCGCCCATGAAACATGAGCACCCACCTCGTGGCATTGCTGTGAGGATGGAGTGGAATATGCTTGGGGAACAGGATGCACCTGGCAGACGCTGAGTGCCGGCCCGTTTGCTGCTAGAGTTGTGCAATCCCTTCCCTGCCTGGTGGAGACCCCAACGTGAAGCCCGAAGTTGAGGCCAGAGGTCTTCTCTTCAGTACTCGAAGGCCTTACTAAATTCAACAAGAGGCCATTTGCTGAGTGTTTGCAGGGCCCTCGGGGGCTCCATAAAGCCACCTGGGTTCAACTCTGCAGAAGGTGGAGATCAGGGACCGGGCTCTCAGAAGACTCCGAGCTGTGCTCAGAGCCCATACCCAGCTAAATGGAGAAAATGACTCCCCGAGGGCCCCCCCGCCTCCTAGACATGCCCCCCCCTTCCCCACTGCTGCTCGGAGGGTGCTGAGATTTCGGGGAGCTCTGCAATAGTAACCCCAGCCTCAGATTCCTAGTCAGGCCATGACCGCAAACATGTTTCTAACTCCAGTGAATTCGATCTGATTTGTTCTGGGAGGTTTTTGAGAATTGGAAGACTCCTGGGTGGTTGAGAATTCTGCGCTTGGGAATTCAGACCGGCTGCCTTGGGCACCCTGCACCCCCTGCGGGCGCTCCTGCCTCACCCCCCAGGGTCTCTCTGTGCCCAGTTGGCCTCCAAGTGTCCCCCAGCCCCCACGTTCCTCTGCCCAGATTCCCTGTTTTTAAAGCATGTTAGAGACAACGCTGCTAAGGTCTTTCTTCCTTCACTGCATTCTCCTCCCTCACATTCCTAAAATGCTCTCTGCATCTCCGTGGCCCGCATTACTTCTGTCGACCTTGCAGGAAATGGGAGACTTTGGGAAGAATTGATAAGAATGGACACAGGGAGGAGAGAGGAGCTAACATCTTAATTAGATGTTACCGTGTGGCCTATGGGAAAGGTCCTGGAGTGCGAGGGGTATGTCCCAGAAACACTGCTACACAGTTGTTCACCACTTCCTTCAGCACCATTCATTCCTCGTCCTCATGTCATGATTTCTCATGCTTGTTCCGAGTCCACTTTATTAGCAGTGTGTCGTTTTCTCCAAGTGGGTGGGGCTGGGTCTTGCTTTTTGGTGAGGGAGTTTATTCCCTTTTACGAAAAAACAAAACAAAACCAACTGTCGTTTTTCTTGCTCTGTAGATGGGAAAGTGAACAGACACAGTAAAAGCAGGTTTTTGAATGCTGAGTGCCTCGGGAGCACTTTTCGAGTTGGCTTCCCTAGAGTGGCCCCAGACGGGGATGCACCAGAGGAAACTAGTCCTCCCAGGAGGGGAGCAGCTTGGCTGGCTTCTCACACCCGGGAACACGGACACTGCAGCGCTGTGCCTGGAGGTGTCCCGCCAGCTGAGCCCCGATCAGTGGCCAGGGAGCTGCCACAGGGGTCCCACAGACGCACAGGAAGGGCCTCCCCCTCAGAGTGTCCAAGCACCCCCCTTAGTGGGGTGGCGTCCCTCATGGCCGCGGATTCCTAGCAGTAACGGGCACCTTCCAGCGGCCCAGGCAGGTTCTGGAAACCGGTTGCCTTCTGCTACTCACTGACCAGTGTTAATCAGAGCAGCTGATTTTTTGTCCCATATTCCTGAATTCAGAATCACAGAACTGACGGGATACGGCCTCGAGGTCTATCAGAAAAGGCACCATCAGCTCAGGGACCTCCACCGGCTTTAGCTCTTCTGAAGCCCATCCCCACGCATTACTTCTCTGCCCCCCAAACCGTGAAGGCCCCTCTGCAGTATAGCCTTTCCAGGACTCAAGCAATCATGGGGCAACCTGACCCCAAACCCCCTTTCCCTCTGCCTGTGCGCACTCTGCTGCTGCGGGTGCAGAGCAGGACTCCCTGTGACCCCAGGAGCCACTCCCTGAAGGGGTCCCCTAGAAAATGTCCCCAGGAAGCAGACACCTCTGGAGCCTCCAGGGACTCCAAAGCCAGCCTTTTAAAACTCTCCAGAAACCGGAGGCGGGTAATCTAACACTCCTTTCTGATGGGAGCTTCTGCACTGTCCTTTGCCCAAACACAATGGTCCTCATTAGCTTTCACTTGGGGCTTTGAACTCCACACAAAACCCTGGCCTCCCCGGCCTGCCCTGCCTGCCCGCTGAAGCCGGCCTGGGGCCCCGCTGCCCGTCAGCATTTCCTTTGTTGCCGCCTCTGAAGCTATTTATAATGGAGCCTTTTTTCTGCTCCATACTCAGCCCCATAGGTGAAATCTCAGCCGAGGAGGATGTTCTGCTTCCCAAACACCAACGCCTGAGAGCAGGCTAAGCTGCTTTCGAGCAGGACCAGGTAGTAGAGCTCCGGTGGGGACAGGTGAGCTGGAAGGAGGCCTGATGCCCTTGCCCGCCGCCTGGCAATCCGAAAGGCCGACGGGAACAAGGCTGGGAAGGAGGCCACGGGCACCGGGTCTCCCTCTGGCCCCAATCCACCCACAGGCTACAGGCTGTGTCCCAAAAAATCATTGGGAAGTTGCATGACTCACATCAAAATGCCCTCTTCCCTCAGAAGCCGTGTGTAGCTGTTGCGGGGGTCACGCTCACCCCCAGAATTTGATTTTGTCCTTGGACTTGCTGGCCCCTCTCACTCATGATGTCACCGTGCCTGCCAAGTCCCAAAAGGGGGGCTGGGGCCGCTCCAGGGGGAAGAGGGGCCAGACGGAGCACCCCCACCCCTCCAGGCCAGGGGAGCGTGGGAGGTGGTGCGGAGCGGAAACCTGTCTTCAGTTAACGCTCACCCCTCCCCCCCTCCATCCTCAGGCCTCCTCTCTCCGTGGTGCTTGCTCCCCGTGGCCTGGCCGGGGCCCCCTTGGGTCAGTGCGCAAGAAGAGCTGCAGGTGCATCGGCGACGGCCCTGCCCCAGCCGGCCGTGGCGAGCAGGCACCACGAGCTGTGCCTCCGTGGACATGTCCTCCTCAGTCAGATGCAGGCATCGAGGCCCTAGGCCCGCTCGAAAGGTCTCCTGTGCGGGCGCGAGCATTTCTAAAAAGGAACGCTTTGCGAACTCAAATAAATACCTACCTGATAGACTTCCAGGCAGCGCCGTCGGGCGTGATGACGTCATGCGGGGCGTGATGACGTCATGCGCGGGGGGCGTGATGACGTCATGCGTGGGGGCGTGATGACGTCGTGCGTGGGGGCGTGATGACGTCATGCGGGGGCGTGGTGCCGTCCCTGTAGGGCATGATGACGTCACGTGTGGGGCACAATGACGTCACACCGTTTAGAAGAAGCTGCTGTGAGGCCCGTTGCCCCACAGCCCGCTCTCCTCAGCTGTCCTTGGTTTTCACGGCGGCTTCCCCGTCCCACCTGCCAGAGCTTCCTCGGCGGAGGAGGCAAGAGCAGAGCGGCTGCCTGTAAATCCGTGCGCTGGTGCAGCGGGGACTGCCTGGGTCCTGGGACCCCCCGGATCCCTGAGCCCCGCGTCTGCACACAGCTGAGGAAGCTGACCTCCCCGTGGCCCGTGTGGGGCACGACCTGCTGATCCGATCACTAAAACCGGTGCGGCGAAGAACCCTTCAGAGCGACCCAGATCGGCCACTGTCTGTGAATGCCCCACGTCCCCTTCGTTGCAGCGCCTCAGTTCTCTCACCGAGCTCTTGTCCAAGCGAGTAATTCATGTGTAATGGGGTCACAACACATCCAGCTACCTGCGGGGGGCCGCTGGGACCTCCCAGCCTCTCCTCCAGAGCGGCACCTACTGTAGTTACAGCAAACCCTGGACGGGGAGGAAGACGCTGGGCCACGACCCAATTAAATTCTTTATAACAGACTTTCTCTAGGCTGGTTTTTAGTAGAAAAGTACGTGCAATGTGTGGTAACACATATTTTATAAGTGAATGCTTATCATCCTATATACGGGCAACTTTTCAACAAGCCGTTATCCCAAAAAGCAAGGTGTCCCTGCGAGGATAATGGAGCATAATTTAAAGAGCGGCAAGGCCCCACTTAGACATCTTAGCAGAGGTTAAACTGGGCAGCCGCCGTCCTACGTCAGCAGGGCCCAATCTGCCCATGGGGCCAAGCGTGCACGAGCCTTACCGTAGGGCATGGCACATCAGCATCCAACACTGAGTTGAGTCTTCAGGCTGTGGATTGTTCCGGCTTCTTCCTTTCTTCTCCTCCTTTCCCACCCACAGCCCACTAGCTGGAAGATGAGGGTGTCACAGAGAAAGACCCTGAGAGTATGCAGCAACCTGCTGTTTGGAACAGACTTGCCCTTTCCCAAGTCCTCAGTGCCATCACTACACAGCAGGCGTCCCCTCGGAGGCCCTGTGCCCCACACCAGCCTGGACCCTGGGCAGCTCCCATCACCCCAGGGCGAGTGATTTATCTAGTTCAGTGGTTCTCAACCAGGGCGACTTTGGTAATGTCCAGAGACATTTTTGGCGGCCCCAATGGGAGAAAGCTGTTCTTGCTCTTGCTTTGAGGGGAGGCCAGGGATGCTGCTGAATGTCCCACCAGGCAGAGGCTGGCCGCCCACAACACAGAATGGTCTGTTCTAGGTGTGGAGATGAGGCGAGGCGAACAACCCGATCCCAAAGGGAACAAGGTCAGGCGCCGAACGTGGATGCCAGGCTCTGAGAGCCCCCGCGTCTCAGGGGGAGAGGGGGATAGAGCCTCTGCCGGCCTGCCACTCCTCTGCAGAAGAGGCCAGAAGGTTGAGCTACGACTGCAGTTGGCTGGGCTCTTACCACCCCTTCCTCTCTTAGACATAAAACCTCCAGCTCCCACAGCTTTAAATTAGGAATATTTGGTGGCATGATCATGTATGTTTAAAACCAAACAGAAATTTCCTGTTCCCCAGCGCAAAATAAAATTCAAGTTTATAAAAGGGCCTGTAAAATCTCATAATCAAGCCCATTAGCCAAGCAAAATGCTCCACTTTGATTCTGTGGTGTTTAGCTTTCTTTTCTTAGCACCGCTTCATTAGCACGCTTTTAATGGATGTTCTTCCAGCCTGCTTCTCAAAATTGCTTAAAAAGAAAACACACGACTTTAAAGGACAAGATAGGAGGGAAATACCCTTCCCCCTTTCCAATGTGGAGGCTCTGGGGGAGCAGGGAAGGTGGGGGGCACAGGGAAATGCAGCAGGGCCCCAGACTCCGTGTCTTGCTGGGGATCTTCTGCTGCATTTTTGCTCCCTGGCTTCATTGCTAGCCTTGCTAATTTCCAGCTCTTTGCTGCTTCAGAAGACCAGATTTTCTTGATTAATAACAAAAGGTTTTGTTGGGCTCAGAGCTGTTTCCCACCATCTCTATGCAAACCCCGGCAACACAAACTGTGTACATTAGCATTTCAAGGCACTTCCTATTACGGAGGGCAAGAAAAGCCCCTCTTGGTGGGTAAAATCCATTTTGTCCTCTCCTGTGACATCTGTTCTAACTTTTAAAGCCAGAAAGGAAACTAGATAATGCCAGAGTCTTTGATTTACAGCTCTTGGCCTTCGGACGCTGCGCGCTCTGAAAGCACCAGCCCTTCCCGGTGGCGCGCGCATTCCCTGCACCCAGGAGAACTCCGGAAGTCGTTCCGAACTTCTTCAAGCTTTTCACTGTCTTTTTCGTGATTTCTTAATGACATCGTCAACGATTCCCCAAACTCACAAAACCGGTGATCTTAAACTTCACGTTCTTGAAAGAAAAATGTAGATGCTGATTGCCGCCCTGCAGTTGTGCTTCTTGCCTATTTCTCCCAAAGCTGGGCGTGCTTTAGTGGCGTGAGGAGATGGAAGCACATTCATTCAGGCAACTGAAATACAACCACGGAGATGGAGGAAGAGCCCCACAAGTGGTAGGATAAAAAGGGAAAGACAGAAGCCCATCAGATGGCTGCCCCCTCCTCCCATCTGCGCCGGGAGCTCTGGGGTCCCTCACACTGGTCAGCCCGAAAACAAAGCTGAAGGCAGATTCCAGCCGGTTTCCCATTCACTATTCATTCAGGGGTCCATCCACTCCATATGCATTCAGCCAACTGCTGTGTTAAATCGGGGCCCTCTCCCAGGATTGGCATGGTAATGAAGCCATGGCGAGGCTCTGTGAAAAGTCCGCCTTTTCACCCCATTGAGGTCCGAAAATTATCTCATAACACCACAACATCTGTGCACAGGGCTTCTGCCTTTTGGAGCGGGGCATGTTTATCATGTGGCCATGCCTCTCAGGGAGACTCCCTCCTCCCACTCCTTCCCACAGCCTTGGTGCTCCCAACGGCCTCCCCAGGCCTGGATGCTGAGCACCCCCGAATTGCTGTTTGATCATTTCTGGGGTGCCAGCCCAACAGCAGGGGTGGTTGGTGGGGGGGACTAGGAGGAAGGAGAAGTTAGCGAATGCATTTTGCTCAGACTCTAGCATATGACATTTGCTCAACTAATAAGTATATTTGAACTTTATTTAAACTGGCCCAGGTCAATAAAATCTAAGGGGAAGCGGTGAGGTTGGGGGAATTTATAGAGACTACACCATCTGCAACTTATATGTGTTCTGCCTGATACAATGATTTCATTTAATTTGATTTGACATTTAAGAGCCTTTTTTGGAAGAGAAAATGAATATTTCTATATTTTATTTGCAATAACCTCACCTGACTCTGCACATAGCCAAGAAGAATAAATGTCACATTCATGGCAAACAGTCGTGGGCCCTCTTGGAGGCGGAGCTGGGAGGGGGCAAGCCGAGGCCCTCAGTGAATGTTCCCAGGGCCTATCTGAGAGCCCATTTGGGCTCCGAGGGCTCAGGTTTGTTTTGTTTTTTTCCCTGTGTCCAAATTCAAGTGATGGTTTGGATGAAATGTTCCTGACCACGTATGAGATGGATTTTTGGCCGCCCGCGGGGTCGTAGAGGGTGGCTTGTGCAAACAGAAGGCCAGGAGGCCAGGCTCACTTTGCGGGGCCACAGGGACACGTGACCCCAGCCCCTCACCAACGCCCTGCTCCCTCTTCAACACTTTTCAAAAGCCTTTAGGTCAAGTTTGAACTGTTCTGACATCACAAGACCTGGAAGTGCAACCCTGGCAGATCTTTTTCCTTCAGCCATCCTTGGGGAAAAAGCTCTCTGCCTGCTGACCTCCGGGGTTCACAGGCTCAGGAGACAAGAAAGCAGGAGGTAGAGGTCTATGGTGGTGACATCATTCCTCTGGGCCTCTTCCCAGAACACGGGGATGAGACCCACAGGATGCACCTCAGAAATGTCTCCAAACTAGGCCCCTGCTCGTCCCCCAGTCACGAGCTGGGATCACCTGGGAAACCACAGCTGCCTCCTAAAACCAGATTTCCTGAACCATCCATCCTCCCAATTCAGCCTCCACCTGGCAGCCCAGCCAGGCCCCTGAAGTTGTGTCCCACAGACTCGCAGCCAGACGGCACCTTGATCTCAGACCTCCAGCCCCCAGAACTGTCAGAGAATTTGTCACTGTTACTCAAGCTGCCCAGGCTATAGTCCTTTGTTACAGCGGACTCAGCAACCCCATACAGGGTCTGCAGGGCCAAGGAGATCTGCCCATGGGGGCCCATGCCCTAACTTCAAAACCATGTCCTGAGCACTTGGGACCCCAGAAATTCCACCCCAAGGGGCCCAGCAGGCCTCCTCACTGGGTGTATCTCAGGCTGGAGGACCCCAAGGCCTGAGGATCTGCTTGTAGTGGGCTGTGGGTCCAGAGTTTGGTTCGAGGGATGCTTGCCAGGCCCTTCATGACTACACAGACCCAAGGCGGGCAGGTGAAGGGTGGGAGGACTGTGGGACCAGGGCCTCTGCCACCCCCTTGCCCTGGGCCCCAGGAACATCAGAAGTGGGTCTGCCCCTGCTAATGGTGCGCCCTCCACAGCAGTCCCCCTCCTCCTCAGGGCAAGAGTGGCAGGGCAGAGGGAGGGCCCGGGGCGGCCTGTCCTCAGAGTTTCTTCCCAGGGTGACAGGGAGCTGCGGATCCAGAGGAATATCCTCATTCCCTGCTTCCCTGATACTCTCCCCCTAGTTTATTCCTTAATCAGGACTTGTTTTCCCTCACACTGGAGCTGTGCCCTCAGGCAAACAAGCGATTCTGGTCATGGGCTGCCGAAGGCCTTCTGGGCACCGCTGACAGTCAGCAGGCCAGGCCGAGCTGCCCTCCCTGTGCAGCCCCGGCAAGCATGAGACTCGTTGGGGGGATGGGGTGCCCCCACAGGGTCTTCCACACAACGCCTTCCTTGCCCGAGTCCAGTACCTTCCATAGCCTCTGCAGACAGCGGCCACTGGGAGCTGAGATCTGTCTTCTCGCCAGGCCCCACCCCAGCCAGACTGCCTGACAGGGCCGTGCACACGGCAGCCACATGGCAGGCCACGCGGGGCAGGTGGCAGCCTCCTCTGAGGCCACGAACAACATGGGGTTTCCCCAGAACCCAGAACCCCCAGCAGCCCTGCCTCACCATGCCTATAGCCCCTGTTCCCCTGCGTGCCCCCCATGGCCTTCCAGGCCCCGACCTCACCTAGCAGGATCCACAGAACCAACCACCGCAGGATGGCCCAAGGTGGGCCCAGGGCTCCACAGGTAGGGTCCCTGTGGGTCATCCCAGGGCAACCGCATCACCTCAAGGCAGGAGAGCTGGAGCGCGCTGGCGACAGGCATCCGCTCAGGCCCCAGCTCCCTCCCCATAAACCACCAGCTCCATCCCCCTCCTTCCCGGCTCTAACAGCTAACATCCGAGGCCAGCCCTCCTGCTTCTGCGTCTGTCTCAGAGCCTCACCCTGCCCACCTTCACTAGTGGAAGAAGCTCACGGCGGTCCACGGCGCTGCAGACAGGTGCTGTAGAGAACCGCAGGGGACAGGAGCAGGCAGTGGGGGAACCACGCGTCTTAGACGGGCAGCCCCGGTCGGGCCGTCCCCAGTTCCCGACCCTCAGCACCGCGGTTGCTGTGGTAGGCCATCATGTTGGGGCACTTTGCTGTGCAGTCCTAGATAACTAAACCGTCGTGACGCAGGCCTGAATCATTTCTTGGATGCTGACTTACCAGTGTTTTTGTTTTTGTTTTTTGCTTTCCCATTTTATGACCTTCCTAAATCATTGCTCACGGCTTCTCCAGAAGTCCAGTTTATAATAGCCAAACATTCTGTGCACTGTAGTCTCATTATAAAACCTATTTATCTTCCTTAAATATCCCAGAGCAGTAAAACTAAAAATATTATCCACTTATTTTGGCTGGAGTTAACAATAGACTTTCCACAGCATTTAACTTCCTCATTTCTTTGACCTGAGTTTAAAGGAAAAAACATATGTACAGATCATTCTGAAGATGTACTTTCTGGGAAAATGTCACACAATCAATATTTCCCTTTTTTCTGTCCATATCTTCCCTTGTCCGGGGCATCCTCATTTGGTGCCTTCTCACTCCCAAGTCCCCTTCCCGCAGGTCCCCTGCCTTTCCTGATGGTCCCCTCCCAGTGCAACTATACCCGTGGTTTGCAACCCACTTATCTCTCCATCAACCAAACCCAATCGTCGGTCAGCAAGTATTTGTTGAATGAGCTGTACATGGTGTGTGCCCTCCGGAACACCTCCTCCACCCCCGTCCCCTACCCTCTCCATCCAGCCACAAGACATCCCCAATTTTCCAAATTCCTGCACTCCCAGGTGCTACCACCTTTCCCAGCCCAGCCTGCTCCACAAGCCGCCAATCACTCACCCCCTGGAAGGGTCCCCCCGTCACAGGAACAGAGGATAGGACTCACACATGGCCAGTTTCTTTTTTCAAACTCATGGTGTAGTAATACTTAGCAAAACCATGTTAGCACCTAACCACTCCATTTTAGGCATTCAGTGGGTGCACCAACCACGCACTAGGAAAACCATGCAAGACATAAATAAAGCCTGGTGCCTGACCTCGAAGAGCTCCCCGCCGGGTGAGGAAGACAAATGTGGATGTGGGCAAAATTTACACTCGGGGAGAACAGGGGTATTAGAGCACATGTGAGCACGCGTGTTGTGGGGGTATGGCAGGGAAGAAGATTCTCCAAAGGTGGAAGGAACTATAAGAGCTTCATAGTGAAGGACACATCTGAGCAGGCCCTTGAGGGATGGGCAAGGATGCCAGAGGAGAGAGAAGGGGGAGCAGGCAGAGGGGCCAGGGGAGGCCTGAGGGAGGCTATTTCTCTCCCTCCATCAGGGAATCTCTGCTAAGGCGGCAGTGACAGCTAAAGGCACAGCCGGTCAGCCTCGGGCCAGGACTCGGGGGAGGGTTTGGGAGGTGTTAAGTGCAAAATTGAAGGGGATGTCAAAAAACTCAGTGGTCAAGATAAATCCTATTTTAATGCAGTATTTAAGAAATCAAGAGTAATGCAAAAATCCATGGTGAGCAAAACAATTCATTTTTATGTAAAGACGGGGTCAGTATTACCGAAGTCTCCCTTGTTTCTGGCTCATTTTCACTATGAAAATGCAACTGTTTTAGTGTTCACAGCTATGGCTCTCAGTGCACTTGCTTTCGCCAATAATTCCCTTCATTTTATTTCTGGGGAAAATGAGAGAAAGGAAAAAAAAAATACAAGAAGACAGTTGGAACTAAAAACTCATTCATTCCTGTCTTGGTGGCCAGCAAACTCTTCTGTCTACAAATTCTCTCCACCTTTCGTAAAATCAAAATACTGTTAACTACATGCTTCAGTTCAAGAGCTGGAAGCTTTCTTTCACGTGGAATACTGTTCAACACCCTCTTCCTCTGTTACCCAAGGAACAAGTAAATGCACACGCCAGAGGCTTTAAGCTGGCCTGGGACCTGGCGGATGTGTGTGCATCCTGCCGGAAGCTGCCAAGCTGGGCAGGAAACTGCAATCACCAAGAGGGCTGGGCTTCTAGAAGCTAGGCAGCGCTGGCCGAGCAAACCAGGCCTTATCAAAGGAAGGTGCAGGGGGGTGAATCTGGTAATTAATTGCATTGTAGGTTTCAAAGGAAAAGGAGGAGGCCACCCAGCTTTGTTGGTGCCTCAGCCTTTTCCCTAAAGGCACAGACAGAAATTCGAGAAGCAGCTACCGGGCAGGTCCACCAAAGCCCCTCCCTTTGGGAACGGCGGACACTGCAGAAAGCCTGCCCTGGGCTTACTCCTGACAAGTTATGGTCAAAACCCTTTCTCCTCGCCCGGGACTCCTTCTTCACTTTTCCAGAGAATTATCATTTTGGATGAAGTTTCTTACTCTTGGATCCTAGCCGAGAAGTGTACTTATTTTTAGAGTTTAAGGAAGATTTTTACATTTTTCTCTCATAGGTTCCAATTTCAACTCACTCTAACCAAAACTTAGTAGAAGCAACGAAATATTTAAAATGTGCGTTTCAGTCAGAAGTGAACCAGTTCAGTTCTGCAGGCCTGACAGTCCCACGCAGGAGAGAATCCAGGGGTTGCCAGGAGCCGCACCGCCTCGAGCTCTATCTACCCTGAGGGAAGACGGGACGCACCTGTCTGCTGTTTACCAGAGAGTTCTCTGGGGACCCTGGCAGCAGCCACCGTGGCTGGCCACACACATGAGCTGATTTGCTTTCTGGACCATTGGTTAACTCATGTGAGCCAGGAGCCTGGGCTCTCTCCATTCAAAGCCCACAAATGCCCACTGAAGCGGAACATAAAGGGAAAAGCTCAGAGGAAAAGGTTTCTCCCTTCCATGACCCTGCAAGAGACCCAATCGGAGCCCGCGGGGCTGGATGGAAAGACTTAGACAAAAATCACAGAACCGGGAGGACAAAAGGTCACACTCAGTTTCCATGGCGTGATGGAGAGCCCATTCATCGCGGAGTCAAGAAAGCTGTGCTGGAATCCTACAATATACCTGCTGTATTTCCGAGGTCCACTGGGAGCCTCAGTGTTGGCGTTGGAACAAGGGCTGGGGCTGATGGAGTGGCTGATGTGCCCTCCCTCCCATCCCCGGCTCACTGCGATCCTCGTTCCCTGGCCAATGCCTCTTGGTCCGCACCCTCCAGGCAACACTTCCATCCAGGCTCCAGGGATCTCTCTGAAGAGTAAATCTTACCTCATTCCTCACCTGCTTCAAAATCACCACCGACCACCCCCATCAGTGCTGTCCTGCAAGGAGCACCCTGCCCACAGGGCCGGTTCCACACTCCTGAATCCTCCAGGACGCCTGTGGGAGCCACAGGCTCTTCAGCGCCCTCCCCGCCTCTCTCTGCTCGAATTCCCCACCCGGAGCTCGAACCACCACAGGGAAAATAACAATGCTCCCTTCTGGAGCAAGGAGCACATTAGGTATTTATGACAGACCCCTATTATCTATTACCTATCCTCCTGCTCATTATCATGGCTGCCCAACACGCCCACCATCGTGGAAGGCCCACCCTCTGGGGAAGTCTTATCCCCCAGCCCCCAGCTAGCCTCAGTTCCAGAACTTACCACCCTGCATCCCAGCTTACCCATTTGTTCACCTGCCTCCCCTACAAATCTGCATCTTCCATCTTTGCTTGCTCTGCTCCCATCCTAGTAGTTGCCACAGCTCTGATACTCACATTGAATGAATGAATGAATGAACACATCTATGCTCAGTTGTTGGTTTACTGTTGAGTCTCTTCTTAGCAATACCTGTCAACGAATGATGTAACTCAGCAGGCTGCTCCCGAGGCTCGGGGACTCCCAGTTACCTCCAGGATGACGACTGTCCAGCTGTGTCCTCGACACCACAGATCTCGCTCAGCCCCCTCCTTCGACCAGAAGCACAGCGGAGCGGTGAATCTGTGTGGCTCCCGCTTTCGACTCTCCATCCACCCCAGAACACCGACCTTCTCACCATATCTTAGTGCTGACACTTGCCACCGGCTTTTTCAGAAAATGGGAGGCCCGATGTTCTCTACAGATAACGTCTTATGCATCCCCATCAGAAAGGAGGCTTGGGTCTGACTTCCCGGTCATGGCTTAGCGCGGCCCCTCTGCTTCGTGACTAGCTGGCCAGAAGGTCTCCTGAGGCGGTACCGGCCCCCACACTGCTTTCCCTGGATGGAGGCAGAGTAGCTCTGTGCAGAACAGGAGATAGGCAGAGGGACACCTTTCATAATCCTTGATAATGTTTCCCAATCACTTGTGACCTTTCCCCCAATTAAATAGCCTCAATTCTTCATCTTCAAAAGGATCATCAACTGAGTAGGAGGAGAGAAGTGTCTGGAGCATGGAGAAGGCAAGGAGGGAACTGGCTTGGTCCTGACTCCAGAAAGATCCAGTGGATTTGTGAGCAGTGTTGTTTTACAGGGGAGAGGCGGGAGCCAACCATGAAGATTTAGGGCAAATGTCACGTTAGTGCAAAATGTCAGTGGCGCTTCCCTCCTGGGGCAAATTCCCGACTGCCTGATCAATCATGGACCAGCTCTGAATATGCTGATTTCCATTAGGAGATAAATCAGAAATTTCAGGGCATCAAGGGAGTGCTCCCTGGGAATAAACTTGTGAAGGAGTGTCATTAAAACTAACAAAAAAGGAAATGTGTTTTCTTCCTCCCCTTTGAAATGACACTGATAACGTTCAAAATTTAAAGAGGTTTCCAGAAGCCTAGGACAGGAGCAGACGTGCGGTCATCCAGCCTCTCACGCCGTACCTGCTTCCCTGCCTGGCCACTCTGTTGCCTCATCTCAGGAAATTAAGGCAAGAGCCATAATTGCCAGCCAACTTCCACATCCTGCAGTCTTATAAAATCAATTGATTAAAGCAACAAAATACCAGCCAATGTTTGCACATTTCTCTCCCTGCTTTCTGGGTACCACGGATCCATAGAGGCCACGCGTCTCCCCACTCCGGCCCTCCAACCACCCAAAGGTGCCATGTACCTTGCAAGCCTGGTGGCTGGGCTCTGGATCTCTCAAGGCCAAGGTAGAGTATTCTGGAGGTAAAAGATTTGCATCAATTAAATAAGTCAATCAACATTTGACATCAGTCTTCAACGAAAGAAGTATATACATCTGGGTCTTTCTGTTTCTTATGATGGATACCGGCAAATTAGTGATTGTCTTTTTTTTTTTTTTTTAAAGATTTTATTTATTTATTTGAGACAGAGAGAATGAGAGAGAGCACATGAGAGGGGGGAGGGTCAGAGGGAGAAGCAGACTCCCCGCTGAGCAGGGAGCCCGATGCGGGACTCGATCCCGGGACTCCAGGATCATGACCTGAGCCGAAGGCAGTCGCTTAACCAACTGAGCCACCCAGGCGCCCGTGATTGTCTTTTATTCATTATCATTTTATTTCTGCTGAGAATAAAATAAATTTGTTCATTTTTTCCTTCAGTGAATGTTCACTGAGGACATTTATGTGCTTGGCTGGGCTAGGCGCTGGGGGCACAACAGTGAACCAGAAACACCCAGCAGGTCTGGAAGGAGCTGTGTCTGCCGTGTGCCAAGTGCTCATCCAGAAGGTTCTTTACGCCTGGGGGGCATCCTACACAGGGCAGGGTGGGGACTTGATGCAGGAAATGGCCTCTTCTAAGTAAAGGCTTAGGCCACAAAAGGTTTTGCAGATCTCAGTCTGAAATGGGAGATCTTCCTGCGAGGCTGGGGAGCGACAGAGATGGGGGGGTGTATGGGAACTCTGGTGAGTTCCGGGGGGGCACACTCGGGCCTGCAGCGGTACTGGAGATCCTTGTGAGGGACTGAGCCTTGAGAGGCAGGGATGGTGCTTGGAAGTCAGGCTGAAGAGGTGAGCAGTGGGCCACTGTCCAACCCCCAGCATCCCTCCTGACTCTGAGATTCCTTAATGTCCCTCCTCCCCGTCCCCGGGGGCCACTCCAGGAGGATCTCCTCCCTGGAGATATGTAGGAAGAGAAAAGTTAACCAGTTCAGCAGCTAATCTAGAAGCATCTAGTCTGTGATGGTCCCTGAGGGAGAGGAGAGATGAACAAGAAAGGTATCTCTCTCCCAGCTGTCACTGTGGCCTAGCCAGGTGGATGAGACCCCTAGAGGTGTAAGAGCAAAAGAGGGTGCTGCCCCTGCCTGAGGGTGACCAGGGGGGCCTTTCAGAAGCGGGGGTTTAAGAAGCAGCTCAAAGGCCTCCTGTGAACCGGCGGGGAAGAGGCATTCCAGGACCTGCGAGCAGAGGTGCAGGGTCATGGAACCTGGTGACAGAGACCCGGGGGTGACAGCAGGATGGGGGCTTCCAGAGGAAGTCCTACCTCTTTCTGTCAGCTATGGGGAGAGGCGTGGAGCAGGAGAATGGCCGGATCCCAGTTTTGCCAGAAGAAAACGACCCTGGTCCCATTGGTGTGGTATATAGCCTGGCTGGGAGGACACCAGAAGCTCCCCAGAACTCAGGACTGAGAGCCCCCTGCATCCTCAGATGGCCAACTGCCCCCCTGGATGCCACACCATCCCTTACGTCTCATTCCACTCGCCCCTAAGGGCCATGGAAGTCCCTCTTTCTGGTGCCCATAGATCATGGCGAGACAAGGACGTTTTACAACAACCGGGCGTTGTGTTTTTGCTTGTTGCAACATGTCAGTGGAAATCCTTCCTAACCACCCTCACCCCGTTCATAGATGGCCACGCTGCACCCTTGCCCAGGACAGCCGGGGTTCGCCCCGCTCATGCTGTGGCCCTAGGCTCTTTATGTTCCCCCCTGTAGCTCTCACACATGTCCTGCTTTAGAGACTAAATTACATGGTCACCCCAGTCCTGACACCCATCGTCTGGAAATCTGGTGCTTGGGCTTGCGGGGCTAAGAAGGGGGCGTGTGTGTTACACGTGTTTGTCCCCCATGTGGCCTCGCTTATGAGCTCTCTGGAGGAGAGAAAGACCCGGCCCAGCTCAGTTCTTAATTTCTCAGCCTGGCACAAGCTGGTGCGCACAGACATCGCAAATTGCCCCTTTGTCCAAGAAGTGGGCAGAAACTGAAGAAACAAAAGGAGCCGTGGACCCCAAATCCTCACAAAGCCTCCAGCAACTGGGGTGGTGGGCCTGTCTGGAGGCGGCATAAGCACTCGTGACCCCAGCACCCCACCCCCCGGCAGCTTGGGGGTCAGAGGAAGGGCTCGGGGGCACTCCCGCGGGGAGCCCCTCCCCCACCGGCTCTGCGGGGGTCTCTGCCCGCAGGGGCCTGGGCTGCCCCACACAGCCGACCCTGCTCCCGGGCAGGCCCCCGCTGAGGCAGCTGAGCCGCTCCAGTCCTGTGCTGCTCGACTGCAACTTGAAAAACGGCACAGAGTGACCTTTAGGGTTCTTCCCTGGCAGCACCATTTTAGGAGTCTGTGCACATGACACGCGAAATGTCCAGGCCTAAGAAGACAAGAGCCACAAGAACTCTGGGAAACACCCACCACCTGGGCCTGGGACTTTCACTTGGCACTTGCAGCTGTGTTTCTTCCCTCAGCCAGGTGCTCATTAACAGCCCCTCCTGATCCAACCAGGGGCGTCTGGCTCGAAGCCTCCGTGGGCCTCAGAACCCCCTGGGGGCTGCTCAGAGCAGACCTCTGTGTCCCCTCCCCAGAACTGATTCGGCAGGCTTGGGGGGAGGCCCGAGAATTCGCATTCCGACAGGTTCCCAGGGATGACACTGCAAGCGACTGCCCAGGGCCGGGAGACACGTCGTTCTGCCTCTGGACGCTGCCCCGCTTACCCGGGGCCACGGCGGTCCCTCTGCTGCGGGAGCTTCCAGAACGCTGTGGGGAAAGTGGCTCGGCACCAGCTATGTGGGTGGGGCTCTGGGGGAGGGAGCACCCGAGGAGGGTCCACCTTGGGGGCCAGGAAAGACTTTAGAGGACGTGACATCAGAGGCTGAAGGATAAAAAAGGCCAGGCCATGAAAGGGAGGGGGAAATGAAGGGAATCCCTTGGGGGCAAACCGCGCCCCCAGCACCCATGAGAACTTGCACATACCTGTGGGAAGAGCAGGTGGTAACCCCCGGGGCTGGAAAGTGGGCCGGGGCAGAACCTGCTGGGCCTTCAGGAGTCAGAGCTGGGATGTCATCCAGAGGGTGGGCGGTGGGGGAGCTGCGAGGGACCAGAGGGGCGGGACTGACGACGAGGCCTAGGCCAGGGCGGCAGTGACTTCCCAGAGGGGGCAGTCCTGGGACAAGGCAGCCCCAGGGATCCAGAATTGAGATGGGGTGGGTGGTCCCTAGTTCAGGCTGCTGTAACAACATAGCATAGACTGGGAGGCTGCAAGTCCAAGATCAAGGCAGCGGCAGACTCAGTATCTGGTGGGAGCTCTCGGGCTGGTTTGCTTGGGGTCCAGGTAGCACTCTCTGGTGTCTCTTCTTTTCAGGACACTAATCCCATCCTGGGGCCCCACCCTCATGACCTCATCTGACACTAATCACCTCCCAAAGACCTACCTCCAAATACCATTGCGTAGGAAATGAGGGTTTTCACATCTGAATCTGGGAGGACACATTCAGTCCGCAGCAGGACAGATGGGAGAAAACTCAGGGCTGGTATTTACTTACATTTCCAAAGGGCTGTAGTAGGAAAGAAAACAGTTATTTAAGAAAAATCATGACATCTTTGAGAAATCCCGTGCTGTCTTTGCCCATCCATCGATGATGCAATTTCTGGTAAGCCACACATCACCTCTAAATACAATTTTCTCTCCAGAAGCAAATGCAAGGGAGGTGCTGTCAGTTAAAAATTAAACAACAGGGGCGCCTGGGGGGCTCAGTCCGTGAAGCATCTGCCTTCAGCTCAGTCATGATCCCGGGGTTCTGGGATCGAGCCCCACATCAGGCTCCCTGCTCCACAGGGAGCCTCCTTCTCCCTCTCCCTCTGCCTCTCCCCCTGCTTGTGCACTCTCGCTCTCTGTCAAATAAATAAATAAAATCTTAAAAATAATCATAATAAAAAAATTAAACAACAAAACGAAACTCAGACCATGTGAGTTTTTTAAAAAGCAATCAATTACCGGTTTCCTCTTGATCTCCACGGGATCAAATAACATTTGGTACCATTCCCTGACGGTCAAAATCCACTCGCGAACGGTCACACACGTCTGTGCTTGGCCCTGGATGTCCTGCACTTCTGTATCAGCTCCATATTCTCCCAACTTCCTTTTTACTCAGGATTCCTTGCTCGGCCAAACATCTTCCAACACACACTCAGCCCTTGTCATTGCTCCTTTCCCTCTGATTTGGGGGCAACTGGAGCCACTGATCTCTTATTTTAAAATGAGAGTCACTGGGGCACCTGGGTGGCTCAGTCGGTTAAGCATCCAACTCTTGGTTTCGGCTCAGGTCATGATCTTGGGGTGCTGGGATCGAGCCCCATGTCAGACTCTGCACTCGGTGAGGAGTCTGCTTGAGATTCTTCCTCTGCCTCTCCCTCTTCCTCGCCGCTCCTTAGGACAGGTCAGACGCCCCTGAGAACCCCTGCACCCGCAGATCGGTCACCCTCGTCCCTTACTCCCAGACCCTGCAAACGTTCAACACACAGTCAAGACATTAAAACAAAAAACAAAACAAAACAAAAACCCTTTTCCAGTTTTCAAGCTCCACTTTATGACCTAAAAAGTAAAATCTTTCTGAAGCACAACAAGGCACTTCAGCTGAAAAAAACACCAAACTTTAAAAGGCGAGGAATCCAGTGGATGTTCTATGTCACGTGAAGGCCAAATACCGAGAAACCATCCCGGGACGAGGAGGCCGGCCCAAACCAGCTGCTTCCAAGAGGCTGTTCTCTCGCTGAAGGCTTAACACAATGACCCTGGAAAGGCTGAGGGGAACCGGGCCCCCGCAGGGTCCGCAGGATTGGCAGCGCACTTGTAGAGACGGCCCCACGTCAGCGGCCGCCATGTCCTTAAACAGCCATACTGTCATGCCACTGACAGTGAAAAAGAATAGGAGCTGAAGGTTCACCAAGCTTAAAAATTTAGAATAAACTGTACCCTTCCTCCCAAATAAATAAAGCTGAAATGTCCACAGTGGCAGCTACATCAAGCGTTTTGAGCTCTTTCCCTCTTGGCTGGCTGTTGGTTTCCAGCGAAGGAGGACCCACGTCCGTCAGCCCCTCTCTGGGGACACGGAGGCCGCGGGTCCCTGCTTCTCTGCTCTCTGGGCCCCAGGCCGCCCCTGAGCCGCAGCTCCCCGCTTTGGCCTCAGGGAAACAAGTGCCCTCTGCATCCTCCAGTCCGGGTGTGAGGAGATCTGGGCCTTTTTTTCTTCCTGGTGTGTTTGATTTACAATGATTTTGCTCAAGGGGGAGGCTGTTTACTGGTTGTGGCTCCCCTAAAAAGTCAGGCTGCTGAGGCACGCCGAGCACTGCCTCCAGAAACCCTGGGGAGGTCAGGGTCACGGCTGACAGGGCCAGAAGAGGCAGGCCAGGACCCCACAAACGGCCGACGCACCCCAGCTCTTACAAAACAGCAAAGACTGTAGTTACTAGCACTTTACCTGCAGAGACTCTCAGGAAGAAGAGCTAAAGACACTTGTGGCTAGAAATGGTCTGAAATAAAAACAAAAAGCAGAACGTGATCACCATCCAAACACAAAGATCACTTCAATTTGGTTTTTTAAAAATTCATTGTTTGATCTCTCTAGTACTGTATGGTTTGCATTCAAAGGTGAACGGATTTATTTTGATAAGTGATTGTGGTTTTCAATGGAACGTGCGTGAGCTTGAGTGGCTATTTCCGGGACCAGGACCTTCCTTACATGATCAGATGGCCACTTCTCATCACCATATGGTTAGAGCAATCACCTGCGGGATCATAACTGAAATGTGCGTTCTGGAGTCACCCTTCCCACCTCTGCTAAGAAGCTGGGGGTTTGGGGAGCACAACCCCAGGATTGCCTAGGAATCTTGTAAAAAAAAAATGAAAGTCCTGGCCTTATTCCTTATCCCACCCCCAGATTCTTATGGAAGAGTTAGGGGTGGAAAAGTCTACAAATCAAATGTTTTCCAGAAGTTTCCAGATCATTCTAGTCAGGTCTTCCCTGGCAGTGCTTTCAAGAACAAAATGGCAAGGTCCCATTACTGCCTGCATGACTCCTAATTCCTGAGCAGACAGGGAAATGTAGCCTGTGGGTTCTGTTAATCTCCTCTACTTGAGAATAATTTTCCTCACTATTTGACTGAAAGAAGCAGAAACAGCACATCCATCACCCCTGGCTTTGCTCCCTGATCTCCACACGTAGTGGCTCTGTGACCTCAGACTTGTTACTTAACCTGTCTGAGGCTAGGCTTCTTATTCACGTTAAAATGGAACTTCTAAAGCTGAAGCTGCTTCCCTTAGGGTGTAGTTAGAATTCGGTACATGCCCTAGTTTTGCTCACGGATGGTCCCTAAGTCCCTAAGAAAGTGCCTGGAGCATAGTAGGTGCTCGGAGAACATTTACTGGCTGGACAGATGGACGGATGGATGCCCCTGAGTTCTGCTTCCTCTGTGCTTCCACTCACACTGGCTGCAGTTCCGGAGCTTGGAAAACCTGTCTTCTTTTCCAGCCTGAGGTCAGATCTGATTGCTCACATGCCCATGACTTCCTTCTTTAAAACCAACTTTGTTGTTTTATTACTGACATGTTTTCATCAGATCTGTTTGCATGTTCATTAACGCATGTAAACGTCAATAAAAGAACCAAGAAAACACCTTCCTACATGTTTCCTCTTGCTTTCCTTCAGGTATAAATTATAGGAACACACAATACCCGATACAGGTCGATGCGCAATCCTCCCTACGGGGCTTCCAGAGGACAAGTCCTCCCTGAGAAGACACCCAGACGCCAGACTTCCACATCTCCCCTCTTCCCCCCGGGCCGCTCAGCCTTCTGCAGAATTCAAGGGACCCCAGAGAAGACAAAGCTACCAAAGGCCCTCCCCGCGGCAGGGCTGCAGGCCATGTCCATTCCCGCTCTGGGGCAGCCTGGGGCACCCTCAGCTCCGTACGAAGTGTCCGAATTGTAAAGGGATGTTCCCAAGTGGCCATTTCCTCCTTCTCTGCACCTTCCCCCAAACCTCCCCCGATTCACAAATACTCGGTGCTGCCCAACACAGGGGTGGCGTCTGGCGTCTCTCCCTCCGACCCAAGTCCACAGTGCCGCCGCCCCAGCACCTGCACCTGCCCTCGCCCCCGGGGCCACGGCAGCCCGTGTGTCCACAGCAGGAAAGGCACCAGCGCACTAAAGGTCACTGCGAAAGAGACAGGCAGGCAGCCTCCAAACCAGTTTATTTTCTTCCTAATCATCCAACCAGACTTGCGTTTCCCGGCCTCCCGGTAGTTAGGTGTGGCCGTGCTACTGAGTTCCAACCCAGTGCTTCTCAGCCAGGGCGGTTTTGCTCCCCGGGGGGCACTTAGCAATGTCTGCAGACATCTTTGCTTGTCACAGCTGGAGGAGGGAGCAGAGACCGGGAACGTCCCGCTCAGAAGAGCCCCACAGCAAAGAATCGTCAGCCCGAAAGGTCAGTAGGACCGAGCGTGAGAAACCCCGTCTAACCAACAGTGTTGTGAGCCAGCTCCAGGCCTGATCCATAAAAACCACCCAAGTGGTCCTCCATGGGCGTCTCCATGCTCTCTCGGGTCTCCAGGCTGGCCCTGGAGGAGCCCAGACACCCTGGGAGCTCACGGCCAGTGGGGCGGAGCCGAGGGCGGGGAGGGCCTGCGTCCTGAGCCCGGCTGGGAGCAGAGCTGCCTGCCCACCACTAACACCCGCTCTGGCCTGGGAGTGAGAAACTTCTGGCATGTGGAAGTGATTACGCGTTTCTGGGCTTGTTTGTTGCAGCTGTGGCATGAGCTCAATCACAGACACACGTGCAGTTTCCTCGAGACCTGCTCCAGCGGTGAGGAGCTGTGCTCCTGTCAGCCCTGGGACCGGCGGTCGGCCCCCGGGGGATTTCTGGAAGCTTGAGTCCCTCCACCTGGGAGAGGGGCCTCAGGGGTGCATGTCCCTGGAAATCGAGTTATAACTGGCACTCCGAGCTCCCATGTGCAGAGAGGCGGGCTGCCTGTGGACCTATGGAAGTCTGTGAGGGACTTTTGAAATTGTGACTTCGAAATAAGCCCTCTAAGGGCCACGTCTGGCCATTCCAGTCCTGAAGGACTTAAAATCAGAATTTTTACACTCCACATTCTGCAAGTTTAGTTAAGGATGTTTTCTCTCATTCAGTTATCTTAATTGTCAAAACTTAGTAAAAAATAAATGCAAATTCCTTTTTTTTTTTTACAGATTCCTTAGCTCTGTCATGAGGCGTGGTTGTTGCTGTTCCAGTGATCATTTCTAAAATACAAGGATGTATACCAAAAAAGTATTCTTGTTTCTCTGAAATTTCCACTTAAATGGATGCCCTGCATGTTCTCTGGCCCCACTTACTGAGCGCTCATACTCTACCAGGTAGTCGGTGGGACAGGCATCGGACGTTCAAAATATCATTTAGAGGGAGATACTGTTCAGTTGCAGCTTCAAAGGGGGAAAGGACATCAGAAGGGCTAGGCGCCTTCCCTGGGTCACGCGCCACCCACAGCGCCACCCACAGGTGCTCGGAAGGCTGCCGCCCACGGGGTGAGCT